TGGCACGTGTCACATAAATCCGTTCTTGGACTCATGATTTGAATATAAGGCGTTAATTGGTGCCATAACTTGCGAAATGCGTCATATTTTAACGATAAACTGACTTGTAACTCGTTTCAGCTGGCAAAAGTGTAAGCGATTGAGTAATGCGATTGACGTTTCTACCCGGACTTGGTAATCCGTGTATTTCAGCATAATTTTCGAGAAAATTCTTTACGGCGGTAGCAACGGTTATATCAATGGTTATTTTGGTTTTTCATCGCGGCATTCGTTTGATATTACCATGAATGCGCGGTATTATACCATTCGTTGCTAGGTGATTTCTGACGTTTTCGAAGTGCGGCCAATTCCTAACATATTGAGATACGTTTTTTGACAAAGCGGCGTATTGCGATCTCAGTAGTAAAACGTTCGCTTATTAGTACGCGTTCTCTTTTTGAGACGTCGACTGGCAGTTATTTCTCCACCATTCAATGCTTTCAGCTGGGCCATTAAAAATATATCTTGCTCGGATCTAGAAAGAGCTTAAAACGCTTCACATAATTCAGCAAACCTCTTTCTCGAAATCTTTTTTGAACAACCACAGTTGCAACCTATCTCCAAGAAACGCATGGCTTTTTCATATTCTGTTGAACCACTATAATTGTAACTTTCCATATACAGGTATCCTATATATACATTTTATTGCTTTCACGCATAATGTAAGTAACCTGTGCTCATAATCATGTGAGTTAAATCAAGGCATTTGGATAAACCAATTCTTTGTTAGTTTATAACATCATAGGCTAGAATGGGTCCAGTTCATTTTATCGACAATCATTTCACCGACAGTACAATCGAAAACCAATGATAAGTGCGATAAACAATGTGTCACGTGAAATGACTGTCGGTGAAGTGTACTGTCGGTGAAATGATTGTCGATGAAATAAATGCCTCCCAGCTAGAATTGACATGTGTTTATTTACTTAGCAAATAAGCTATATGCAATGTTTCTTGCTTGTTATAATGAAACCTAATACCTCATGTAAACTATCATCTAGTAACAGTTTCATCAAACATAATCTCTATCATCTCAAGATCATGCTGCTTATGATTAACTCCCCATCAATTGCTCCATCTGGTCATTTCACACCAATACAGTTGATGTTCATAGGGTATTGTACCTAACCTCTCCTTCCTTGCCTGACCAGTCAAAGTCAATAAGCATAATTCCATCATCCTTACTAACCAATATGTTACTGCCATGTATGTCACCATGAACCAGGTCTTGAGAATGAAGAGTAGTAATTATATTCATAATCTGAGATTTAACTTGCTCAGAGGGTGGAAAGCATTCTTTGAATTCATTACTGTTTCATAGATTATAAGGAAAATATGTATCAGGGTCAATTATATCCATAACTACCATGAGCCATCCACCTGGAAGATGCTGACAAGTATACAGCTCAGATGCCATGCCATTGTTTGAACACCATTTGTGTGCTTCTACAGAGTAGGTTTGGGTAAATTTGATACATATAGTATCCTTATTCTCTTCCTTCTCAGCAAAGAAGATAAGCTTATCTTCATACTGCTCAAACCATGTAAAGGCAACATTACTTTTTTTCCATTTATCATAATAGCTGTTAATGTAAGGAAACTTAGAATTACAGAGATTATGTTCATGAGCTAGTGGAAGTATCTTCTCATAGTATTCCTTTAGTTCTTGTACAGCAATCTTGAATGCATGAAAGAGACAAGCAGCTGTGATCTTCATTTCAACATCATAGTCATGACATGCAATATATCAGCTGGTTAGTAAAATAATATATGTTCATATAAACTCATATTAATATACACAACATACCAGCATAATAGACGTGGAAACAAGGTAGGCTGGACCATGGATATTGATCCACCTGTTCACAAACAAAATTGACATAATATATAGTTGACTGTATAAGTGGGTCAGCTCCACTTTGACCTATCTCATTCTTTGCTTCTGTATTCATATAGAAAAAGCCATTGGTCTCCAAGTATCCATCTGTCTGCATGTTTGTTGCACAAATTTTTGTGGCAAATGTAACATGGGGCAGACTGCAACAAAACCAGACAAAGTGAACATTCTATTATGTGACATAAATGAGAGGCTGATTGTGATGTG